CCTTTTCGTAACAACAGGCATCAGAAGGGCATATTCTTTTATATCCTCGCCTATTCTGCACGTGACCTCAGACCCACTGCAATGTGGTTGACTCTCACTGCCCTCTGAAATGGCTTAGTAAGCCACTCAGTTCAAAGGCAGGTAGGAGCGGGCAATAAATGTTGGCCAGCCAGCGACACCAATGTTTCACAAGTGAATTTAAAAAAGCAACAGGAGTCTCACAGGGGTACCTCTTCATAATGAAAGATAATAGACCTCATGCATGTATAATCCCTTCATAATATCAGACATACGGAGTTTGAACTGTTTAATGACAGCAGGCATTCGGATGTGCATCCCATGTCACCAAGCATCCATTTTGTTACAAACATCTCAATAACAATAGATCACTTGGGGGTGTACCCTTCATAAAAGGGTGTTTTGACTATGAACCCTAGATACCATCTAGTGTCTTTGTTGTGCATGCTTTGAAGGGTCCAGACCCGAAACGTCAGCCTTCCTGCTCCTCTGATGCAGCTTGGCCTACTGTGTTCATCCAGCTCTACACCTTGTTACCTCAGATTCTCCAGCATCGGCAGTTCCAACTATCTCTGACATTTTTGGTGTGTACCCTTTCATCAAAACAGGTACATCATTTGTATATCCATTCATAGTAAAGATTTCTCACGTCCATATCCCATCATGACAAAAGAAATCTTGAGAATTAATCTGTTCATCCAACATGTGTCTTGGATGGGTGCAGCTTGATGAAAACTCCTGGTTCAGGTGTACCTTACTTTCTAGCAATTGACATTCGTTTCTGTACTACCTTTGTCTAAAGACTAACCAAATCCACTTTGTCTATAATCTTACTGTATCTCATTGATTTATGATGTAAATCCCTGACTATTATCTAACTATACCCACTCTGCATAGAGTCTCACTGTGCCCCCTCAGTGTGTGGTCTCAATGTATCCCCTCAACAGGGCAACACATTTAGTAGACTTTCTCATTTCTCTGCAGTGAATACCTGGTGTCAGTCTCAATGATAAGTCAATGGGTGAACCTGCATTAAGAGACCACCTGCCTGGAATAATCACCTGATGTCTGTCCCAGAGGTTGTCATTACAGGCAGGTTCACAGTGTTGGTATGGATGACCTGATCACAGCAGGAGTTGCAGGCACTAATGTCACAGACATTCCTAAGACCTTGTTTAAGCTTCATATATTTTGTTTTGATTTCCAGGTCGCGATTTGGCCAGCACGACTCTTCCTGGCTACCCTCCGCATGTGCCCCCTGCTGCTCAGGGCAGTTATCCAGCCCCAACACTGACAGGAATGGTGCCCGGTGAGTATGAAATTCAGCATTTGGAGCAGGGCACTGGGCTTAGGTGAAGTCTCTGAAATGTTTCATTTTCTGTATGCTTCACTAGAGAAAAAGGATATCTGAAGCAGTTACTAGCTGAAAAAGCGCTGGGAGAAGGAACGAAGACACTGGTCTCATTAACCTCTATGCAGTTAGACACTTCTCCACAGGGATAAAATACTTAGATACATCTCTAATATTTCTTCTTTCACTTAACTGTCAGGTTTAGTAATCTCCTGGGATGTTCAACATTCAGCGACAGAAAAGGGTTTGGTGTTCAAGATAGTGATGTGGGTAGAAAATCTAGTCATTAAACAGGACTCAGAAGCCCAGCTGTCCTTTAAGAAGACCGGTAATTTGTTTTTAATGAAAACATGCATTTTATTTTTAAATGACCCTTAACAAATTAGTTTTCAGTGCTATTTATTAATGATATAGCTCAGTGTTACATGAACAATAATAAGCCAGACACTAGTTTACTGACTAACTGCAAAACCAGTGACTGCAGAAAAATAAGCAGGTCACATTTTTGAAAATAAGAACTTAAATGGGTTAAAGGAACAAAGGAATCTGGGAGTACAAATACACAAATCACATTACACAGCTAATAAGACCATGAAAAATGAATCACAGAATTGTTTGAGCATATTTATTTGTAGAAGGATAGAATTGAAAAGTAGAGAAGTTATGTTAAATGTGTATCAAACCTTGATTATCTCATTTTAGGTATTGTGCACCATTTTAGTTGTCATATTGTATAAAGGATATGAAGGTATTAGACAGATGGCTGGAAAGGGATTTTTTTTAAAACAATGATGGCACTGGAAATGTAAAGTTATACCTGTCAGAAAAGAACGAACTGGTTGAATCTCTTTTCTCTTCGCGATAAGGCTGACTGGTGACCTATTATAGGTATTTAAAATTATGAAAGGTGTTGATAGATTAGACACTGAGAGAGCGCTTCCATTGCAGGGGAGGAGCAAAACTAACAGTTGTCAATGTAAGATAGTCACCAGCAAATCAAGTAGGAAAATCTGGAGAAATGTATTTGCCTATATGAAACCCAGTATGGTGGTGATAGGCATATGAGATAGAAAGGAAATGCAGATAAACGTTAGATGAGGAACAACGGAGAAGGAGGAGCAAGTGGAGCTTAAATACTGGCATTGGCTGAATTGCTTGTTTGTGTATTATATATTTGTGTATTATATATGAGTATTATTACTTTCCATATCTGACATTCTCTTTATCTGTATCTCCATAAATCTCAATCTGCAGGTGTCTCTCTCTTTCTCCACATTTTTTTCTTTGTTGTCCTTCCTTTCTGCCTGTTTGTTTCTGTCTACTGTGACTATCTATCTTCCACTCATACATTCAGCGCTGACAGGCCTAGAATTAGTGGCGACAGGAAATAATGATCAATGAAAGAAAAAAAAGCAACGTCTCAAAAGTTTGTGACAAATGCAAATCTTGAAAATTCATCCAGAGTAATGCAGTGACCCAGAGGGGTGCATACGCTATGCAGTGCAAATCATTAATACTTTACAAGCTGTGATCGTGCTTTTTGTTTTCATGATGCTTTTAGTTGTGTGTCTTTTCGTTTTCCTCATTCATGGGAGATGGGTAACGTTGGCTTAGCCAGCATTTGTTGATCATCCCCAATTTCCTTGAAATTAGTTTGTGTTAACATAATGGATTGAGATGAAATCACTCTGCAAAATTCACATCTCTCTCCCACTTAAAGGCAGGCAGAAATTATTCATTAAAACTTGTTTGTTTGAATCCCACAGTCATTTCTCTGTCTACCTTGTACTACATAAGGGCAGATCTTACATATGCACTCTCCCTCTATGGAGTCTCACTCATATGTGTCAATAATTAATTTTGCCCATGACTTTCAATATGTTATAGGGGCAGTCCATTCACAATTCCTGGTAGGTAGCACTTGCAAAGGAAATTCCTCACTTGCACAGCACATTAGTGAAGCAGCAGGCTACAGAGGCAGAAGGTAAAATTACTCGCAGGAATTCACAATCTGATTTAAAATTGTGCCCAATTTTCTCATTTGTTGATTTCAATTGGAAAAGGACATCAGAATCTGAGCTAAAAAGGTGCTCAATTTGCTGTGAGTTCATCTCACCTTACTAAGACCAATTTTACCTTCACTTGATCCAAATGCTTGTGCCGTGTGCTGTCAATTAGCTGTGAATTACCAAGGAAACCTCTTCTTTTTCTAAAAAAAATGTCATCTTGAGGTGGGAAAAACACTACAACCTATGACAATCAGTGCAACGTAAGTATTCAACAAACTAGGATTAAAATTGTTTTAGAAATTTCTGTAAAATTTGTAATAACAAAATTATTATAGTTTACTCATTAATAGAACTAGATCAGTCAAGCAATATTTTTCAAAATGTGCGAGAACTCATTGCTACAGTCCGCTGGCAAGTTAAACAATGTGAAAATTAGCATGCAAATGATTCCAGTTCCACAGTTGAGCTGTCAGTTCCACATTTGCTAGCCTGGTTCATTTAAAATCCTTGTCAGATTTCCCATCCTGAAGTATTTATGTCCAGAACAGGCATTTTTAGGACTCTTCATGAAAGATAGTTTGGTTAGTTTCAGTCAAATAAATCAGTCACATCAGCTTGTACCATATTACAGCTTCTTGGCAGGGGCTAGAGTGTGGGGATTTGAGGGGAAAGAATCTTTGAGTTTCTTCACCAAACATCACTGGACTAACAAAGGTGACGTTTTGGAAAAGGTGACTGGTCAGTGACTTATTAAAGCTGCACCACAATAAGCAGAATCTCTGTGAAGCAGACCGTCTATGGCTATGTTAATTTTTTTTTCAAAGGAAACACCAACACAATGCAGTCGTTAAATATTCTAGCCTTGTCCTACACTTCTAAATGTATAACACTTTTGTTCTTAACGGCAACCACTCCACTTCTTATACTTGCTTACTGTTTACATGCTGGAAGATAATATTGGGGTCCCCTTTTGTATTGACTGCCATTCTACTCACATATCACTTCTTTGCTGGTCGTCTTTTCTTTTCAACCTATTGTATTTTATATGGTCCTCACCTGAAGTGTTCACCAGACATGCATCATATGCATTTTTTCATCTGTCATAATGTCTTTCTCCCTTATCATGTAAGGAGCCTTGTTTTTGGTTCCCTTCACTTTGCCCTTGTTGGAATGCAATTCGCTTGTATTGTTTTGAAGCACCTCTTCCTTTTTATGATCACCCATTGTTTGGTTACACCTTACCGATCACTTTTTTATTCCATTTTATCCCGAGAGAATCCCTTCTTATTGCATTCAAATTAGTTGGCCTCTAATGTGAATATTCTACTGCATGTAGTTTCCTTTCTTCTCCATTTCAAATCCAATGAAAAAACAATAACTTTTACACAAGTGTTTCTCCATAGGTACTTGGTTTACCTCATTTCCTGTACCACATCCAGAAATGCTTCTTTTATAGATGGTCGGAGAGCATATTGATCAAGGATAATCTCCTGAAATTAAAGTCTCCCAATATCGTACAGTTCTTGCTCATCTCTGTGATTTACCTGCCGATTTGGTCCTTAGCTCTCATTTTTTTTGGAGCTTTACATTGTACTCATGATCACACCTGTTTTACTTCTCAACTCTAACCAAAATGATTCTTTCCTAGTCCCCTCGTGGTTATTCCTTTTCCAACACTTATCAGTACTCCTTCCCCACCCTCCTTTTCTTCTTGTCTATCTTTTCTGAAGACTTTTTATCCTTGAATAATGGGTACCAGATATCCATCATTTTAAGCCTTGTTTTTGTAATAGTTCTACATTGTCTTCTTGTGTGACTATTTGTGCTTGTAGCCCATCAATCTTATTTATCAAACTTTTCTGTGTGTACATACATGCATGGTAAACCTGTCTTTGTATAATGGATAGTCATTCATGGTCTCTTCCTGTTTGATGTGGAAGTATTCCCGCCAATAGTAGTGCCTGACAGTCTCACTTTGCATGCCTTATTCCTTTTGTACTTGTGTAGCTGGTGCCCATTTTCTGCCAGTTTAGTCAAACCCTCCCAAAACACAAGTGAACCACTCCATGAAGACAATCGTCCCAGTCCTGTTGAGATGCAACTTGACCTCCTTGGATAGGTGCCTCCTGCCTCAAGGATCTGAAGCTTTCCTTTGTGCACCGCACTCAGCTCCACTTCCATAAAGCTTGACTCCCTTGTCTATGAAAAGTTTATTTAACACAGCCTTTAATAAATGTAAACACCCAGCCTCCACCACCTTCTGGAGAAGAGAATTCCACACTGTAACAACACTTTGAAAGAAAGAAACTCTCCTCATCTCCTTGAAAGGGAATCCTCTTATTCTATGTCCCCTAGTTTAAGTCTCCTCCACACGAGGAAATGTCTCTGGATCCACCCTCAAGAAATTATATATTTCAGGAAGGTCACCTCTTATTCTTTAAAATTGCAATGGGCAAAGGTCCCACTTGTTCTTCCTTTCTTGATAAAATAAACCTTTCATCCCATGAATGAGTCAAGTGAATTTTTGAACTGCTTCTAAAGCAATAGTATTTCTTTTTCAAAACCACTGCAGAACCCCAGACGCGGAGTCACCAATACTCTGCACCTCTGCTTTAAAACTTTCCTAATTTATATTCCATTTCTCATTTACTCTGCCTATCTTTCTATTTCAATTCTTGCCGGTATGTGACACCAGGAGTAATTCAAAGATTACTACCCTTAAGGTCCTGCTTTTCTTAACTTCCTCAATAGCTCCTGGAACTTGGACTGAAGGACTTCAATGTCAGGCACCTCTATGCCATTGGACTGATGTGCACATCAATTTCTGCCTTATTCCCTTCCCCTTGCAGAATATTCTGCAGCCTCTCTGTGATGTCCTTTACTCCTGTACTGAGGAGGAAATATACCATATGGCACACTCAAACACAGAAACGCCTGTGTGATCCCTTC